GATGTGTTTTCACTTTTGATCCGACGTTTGACCGGCCGACTCTCATTAGGGATCGAGAGAGGCTCTTTTCTGACTAGCCAGGTATCAGAAGATACCACGATTGAAAGCTGAGGGGAAAAGGACAGGAAGGGTGTTACTGCCCTTGTTCATATTATCCAAAGATATTTCGAAAACTCAGGACTGAGAAACGAGTTAACAGAATATTACCGATTTCAGATTGGGGATACTCAACCCGTACAAGAAAGACGCTTAAATAAACAATTGCATTCTTTACTGCTTGACCAGTTAGCGACATCATCATTCTTCTTCTTCGATGAAGCTTAAGAAGTTCAGTACCTTCTCACATAAGTATCAGTATGAGTACCAGACTGGTGAGGGCAATTTGCCTGTTTACAACCGGTTTATTAAATAGCGTAAATCCTTTCCCTGTATCTCGGTTTGCAGTTGGGTTCCACAGAGAGCGGTATTACCGCTCAAACATTTCATTTTCATATAGATCCAACGTCATCCTACCCTATATAACCTATATCATATGCCAGAAAATAGGCATGGAGCAGATGATGACAGAAGATTCCATCAACCTGTGAATTCAGTCCGCATTTGTAAGAACATAAGAACACGGTGACCACAATCAGGAAGGAAAGGCTAAAATGCTTTATGAAGATCTCCATTTCCAAAATAGTGCGTTAAGTAGACAGGACAGCTCAAAGACGGAAAAATGTTACACCAGGCTACCTGCCCACCCTTATATCACATGCAAGATTCGAAATCGCACTTTATAATTCGTTTAACAATAGAAGTGCATTGCACAGACACTGAATAACAATTTTGAATTTTTTAATTTGAACTGAATTTATGAACAAATAACATCAACGAATTATGAAAAAGGACGAAACGGATGGCGCAGCTATGGGACGCAGACGCCGTTGACACAGCGAGAGTTGTAACAGATGTCGGTGTTCGCGAAGCCGATGCAGCTGCCACCGACCACCACCTTGCTGACGCAGTGAGGTGATCCCTGACGTCGGTCACAGAACAGGTACTTCGAGCCGCACTCTCTGGTGTTAGTGCACGTCGGACTCGGTAGGTACTCGAAGAACTCTGTGACGTAGCTGTTCGACAGGCCGTCGATATTCCTGATAGTGAACGGCAGCATCTGGCTGTTGGCCGCGTGAGCGATGCTACACGAGTCTCTCGAAGACGGATAGTCACTCTCCCTCTGCCGTGGCGTCTGGCGCAGTTGACGGAATCGTTCCCAGAGGTAGTCGATGTAGCAGTGGTAATTGAAGAAGATCGGGTCGTTCGGCGACAGGATTATGCTAGACATCTGACCTCCGATCCACGTGTGAACTCCGCCGTGTACCTAAAGCGATGATCGCCATGGAAACGGAATCTTTAGCAAAAGCGATAGTCAGCTGATTCCAAGAACTGAATCAATCTCGCTATTCTCGGGATTTAGACGCTGTATCTCAATCGCTGCTTCTTTCACGTTTTACGGTGTTTGGAAATGATTGCTTTTGGCGTTGATCGTCACGTTGCATAAGCTAATGGCCTTTAATCGATTATAGAACAATCGTCATCGCAACATAACGATTGTTTCTTCATATGCGAATACACATAACTGATCGTGTCTGAGATCTGCTTATAATGGGAGCTCTGAATTGGCTTCGATGACCATTCCCGCATCCCTGCACACAGTAAATATAGGCTTAAATACTGCTTGAGGCATACAATGGCTGCGATATCTCAGCAGAGCGGAAAATCTTGGGTTCATCACACCTTAGTCTAATGATCTTGATTCTCTTCCTTCTGAGAAAAACGAAAAAGTACCACTGGGTGAAGGAAAAGCAAATGAGATAACTTTCAGCACTGCCTTAAAATGTGGCACTTTCAGAACCTCATGCTAAAAAGATTCGGCGATTCTTGCTGTGTTTTCTGCTTTAGATCGAATCGACTAGGTTCGCTTATTCCTTACTCGCCTCAGACAAATTTCAGAGACGTTCAAAGTCAAGAAATTAACATGGTTTTATCATCAGCTTTTCTACTGGGAAAAAACATAAGGCATGGGAAGAACGTTTCCCAAGCAATCACATGATAGGGAAAACTAAACAGAAACCTATCGTGAATTAGGATATCAGCTCATAACATGAAAATATGAAACTCTGAGATTGATAGACATCAAGAATCGTGCAATTTTGCGAATCAGCTAAAGATGCTGACAAAGCAAACAAAGCCTCTAACATAGGTACTTTTTGCCACGTATAGCGTCGCCAGGATTCTTGA